CGGACTCATATATCTAATTGCCTACTGGATATCACTGCTTGAATTTTTAATGGACACCTTAGAAAGAACATCACCAAGCCAGCCTAGTCCTCTCTCCCTTGTCTACTCTTCCTCTAGTCTTTTGTGCTCAGTTGGTGGCATCTTCATTCTTGTAGTTGTTTGGGCCAAATGCTTTGTCGTTATCCCTGGCCTGTCTCTTTCCTTTATATTGTTACATATCCAACCCACCAGCAAATTCTGTCATGTCGCCCTATAATCCTGAATTTGATCATTTCTCACCACCTCCAGCTCTCCCTTTTGACCAGCCCACCATTTTCTCTTGACGGAACCATTGCTGTAGCTTCCTAACTAGTCTTTCTGCTTCCACCCAGCAACTCTTAAAGAATCTTCACACAGCAGCCAGAATAACCCTTTTAAAATGTGTCAGATCATATCCCTCCCCTGCTCACAACAAAACCCCCTGATGGCCTTCCTCGGTCTGGAGGGCCCCACATGGTGGTGTTCCCTGCTGTCTCATTCAGCTCCAGACACAGGGCTTCCCTTGCTGTTCTTTGAAGGGGTTTTACCCTTATTCCCTACCCCCCAATCTCTGGATTCTGCCCAGGTACAGTATTTCCTTATCAGAGACTTTCCTGACCACACTATTTAAAACAGTACTTTCTTTTAATTTTTTTAAATTGGGGAACAGTGTGTTTTTCCAGGACACATCAACTCTAAGTCAAGTAGTTGTTTCAATCGAGTTGTGGAGGGTGCAGCTCAGCAGCCCATGCGGGGATCGAACCGGGAACCTTGGTGTTGTGAGCACTGCACTCTACTCAACTGAGCTAACCGGTTGCCCCTAAAATAATACTTTCTTATTGTGTATTCCTTTACCTCTGCTTTATTTTTTATCATAGTAAGTAAAGCCATCTGACATATTAAATATGTATTTGTTTGTTTTTTTCTGCCTCCACTCTCTAAGTCCCACAAAAGCTGAGACATGTCTTTTTGTTCACTGTTGAGTCCCAAGCATGTAGAACAGTGTCTGGCACATAGTAAATCCTCAATTAATATTTGTAGAAGGAAGGCATACATGCCCTAAACTTAACCTAGACAACTCATTACCATAAAGCATTCTTAAAAAAATTATGAATTATTTTAGGCCCACAAGGTATAATGAATAATATAGTGAATATCCACATACCCGCCACCCGCTTAAAGGAATACAATGCAACTCTGTCAGGATGGGCTAGTTGATGCTACTGTAACAAACGGCTCTCAGATCTAACCGGCTTAGAACAGATACATGAACAAACAAACAAATAAATAATCTGACCTCTCACTCATGCTGCACGTCCATCCATGGGGTGGCTGAGAATATCCTTGTCACTGACAGACAGTGGCAAAGGGAAAGAAAGATGCCAGTGGCATACGCTTAAAGGTTTCTACCTACAAGTGACACTTCTACATACATATGCTGGGCAGAAGAAAACCTCATATGCGTGCCTAACTTACAGGAGTGGGGGAGATGCCTCCTATTGTGTAGCTAGAGGAAGTGAACACAAATATGTGTGACTAGACCTATTGACTGCTAGGGACTGTCACAGTTACACATGTAGTTAGAACTCTCTACATGAACCCCCTCCTGGTCCCATTTCCCCCCTGTCTCTAGAGAACATCACTGTACTTAATTTGGTGACATTTCATTGTGGTGTCAGTTTTCCTATCCCTGATTATTAATGAGGTGGAATATCTATGTTTATGAACCGTTTTGGTTACTCTTTTTGTGCACTGTTGCTTTCGTATTGATTTATAGGAATTCTTTATATATTTTGAATACTACTACTTTATTAGTTATAAGAGTCATAAATACATTCTTCTGCTTGATGGCTTCTGTTGAGCTTTATTTATGGAATCTTTTGAAGCAGAAGTTTTGTAAAGACTTCATTGTTTACTTTTCAGTTTTGTCATTTGCGGTTTGTGCTTTTGGCATCTTGCGTAAGAAATCCTTTCCTACCCTGAGGAGATAACAGTTTCTTTTGAAAGTTTTGCTTTTTGTGTTTAGGTCTTTATTCTGCCTGGAATTGAAAGTTGTAAAGGGTATGAATTAGGACTTTGTTTTTCTCCTGTATGGATAATGAACAGTTCTAAGCATCCACTAATTTGTGATGCCTTTTTCTTTTATATATCAAGTTTCCATATACAAATATTTCAGGAGTCTTCCCCAAAGTCAAAATAACCATGAAAGGTAAACGTTTTGAATTGATTCAAGACATCGAGGCAGCTATGACAGCAGAACTAAAGACACTCACGAAAGAGGACTTCCAGAACTACTTTAGAAAGTGGCAAGCACGATGGGATAAGTGTGTTTGAAGTGAGGGGGAGTATTTTGAGGGGTATTAATGGCAATGTGTCTTTTACTGTAATACATTTTTTAACTTAAATGTATTGTTTGACCACACCTCCTAAGCTGGGAGTGCTCAGTTTCAGTGATGTCTAAAATGTCATCTCACAAATGCTGTTGAGTCAGGAGGGAACCAGCTGAGTGATTTCAGCTAGGTCACTCTCCCTCTCTGAACTTAAGTGTCCAGGGGGTGTTTCTGTGGTTCTAGAGGTCTTTAAGTTTATCATGTCTTTTAGGCTTACTTGGATAAGCTTTGGCTCCACTGCCTGGAAAGGAAGCTGGGTGGGTCTGGCAGGGCGTGGGGGGGAGGGTTCTGGAAGGAGCTATTAATGAGGCAGTCTAACAGGAGCAGGGCTGAACGCAGCCTCAGAAGG